CCCCCGGGCATGAAGAGCCCTCTCTGCAGGGCTCTGCATGGCTACAAAAGCTATACCGCAAACACATACAAAGAAAAAAAAAAAACTGAATTATCTAATGCAGGGGTAGCCTCGTTAAAAACCAAACCCAGTGGAAAGACGGTTAAAGTTCCTATGGTTCACGTTTTAGGGGCTGTAGATGATTAAGGAGGCTGCATGTAAGGGCCCATAGGGGCAGTGCAGACCACCTACAAAATTGTACATAAATAAAGAGTTCAGGTTTGGAATAACAGCATATTTTAAAAGGACATCAATTGCTTATATTTTAATTTATATTTTTTATCTTAGCATGTTGTATAGCGGGTGTTTTTGGTAATGTTCCTGACAAAAATTGGGATTTAGGCCAAAATTGTAATCGCACGCTGCACAGCCTCCTGCCATTGTCTGGGCGGAGGTTCAAGCTTAGACTCAGTGGACAGAGTAGCCATGGTGGTCGAGGAGAAGCATGTCAGTTCTACTGTGGAGTAATTCAGACGGATGTCGCCTCAGATTAATGTCACAAGACAACCCCCCTCCCGGAGTATCTTCAACAGTGACTCAAAAGCCAAAGAACCAATCACCTGAACATATGGATGTTGTTGCACACAGAGCACTTTCCCCTCTGTCTGCAGCCAGTGGTGCCTCTCCTACTGCTGGGGGCATAACATCTGTCCATGCAGGCGCTCACCTGTCCAGCCAGGTCTCACGTAACAGTCCTCATCAACACCCACTATACTGACTTAACATTTTGCTCTCATAAACTCTTAGTAGACACCAAGTTCAGCTCTACCGGTAACGCTGCATGCATTCACTATAGTGGGCTTATAATTCTATATGGGAGTCCCCAAAATCTGCAAGAAAAATATGCTACAAAAGATAGGTGCATGTCAACAACAAAAACATTTTAACTTTTATTTACTATGCAAAGAGAGATATTGCACAAACGTATGGGTATATTAATATCAACGTAGACATGGAATTACAAAAACGTTCTGCCAATCAGCTAATCTTTTGTATTTGGCCACTCCTACTTCTGGTTTCACTTCTCTTCAACGTACTCAAACTATGAATGGACAAATAGGACAAAAAAAAGAATGAATTAATATTTCCAATGAAAAGCGAAAGAGCACCCTTTTACATTTGTGGAACTGAAAATATTTTTTTGTGTGTTTTTCATCCGGTCTGATATTTTTAATCTCACACATGAACACGCATGTACACAAACACACTGTATGGTGCCTGTACATATCGAGACCTGGACAGTTTTCTTGTGCAGGGCTATTATTTCCAGTCCGGCTGATAGTTGGTGTGTTCCAGGTGCTGCCATAGCACTGGCATCGTTGTAATCCTCCATTTTACTCATCATCCGGTGTCCCTCTCTCACTGCATCATGTACATTTGGACCGATGAATAAACTACTGACAAATTTTATCTGAGCGCTTCTGTGTTTTCCCTGCCGAATCATCATGTTTTTATTTTATCCCCTTCAGTATCGCGGATATATGACTGAATTTGACTGGAAATTTAAGAGAGCAACTCAGTGAAGCTGATTTTACAATTAACTGTAATAACACTGACTCAGACTATGAACAATGTGAAGTTGTTGTATTTAACTTTAGAGTTTCTGCCAGGAATATTGTTTTGGGAAAGAGCCACATTAAGCTAACGGTTGTAACGTTAGGTTCATGTGTGGACATGGTGATATTAAGTGGTATTGATTCCGAAAAATAAGTCTCTGCAAAAAGTGAATAGGAGATTTCCTAAAATGTCAAACAGTTCAGTTAATCCATTCATTCATCCATTATGCTCTGCTTATCCGGGGCCAGGTCACTGGGGCTGCAGGCCTAAGGGCAGTGCGTTACAGAAATCCCTCTCCTCAGCAATGTTTTCCAGCTCTTCCTGGAGGACCCAAGGTGTTCCGTGATATGGGATTTCTCGGTATGTAATCCCTCCAATGTGTTCTGGGTCTACTCTGCGGCCCTGGTTGGACTTGCCCAGAAAACGTCTAAAGGGAGGCGTCCAGGAGGCATCCTGATCAGATAGCTGAACTACCTCAGCTGGCCCCTTCCGTCATGAGGAAGCAGCTGTACTACGAGCTCCTTCCGGATGTCTGAGCTTGTCACCCTATCTCTAAGGATGAGCCCAGCTACCCTACAAAGTAAGCTCATTCCAGGCACTTGTATCTGCAATCGCATTCTTTCGGTCACTACCCAAAGCTAACAACCATAGGTTCTGATGCCGCAACGAACCGCCTGTCTATCTCCTGCTCCATTTTATCCTCAGTAAACAACACCCCAAGATACTTGAACTCCCTCGGGTGGGGCAGTAACTCACACCCCCACCCGAGGGCACAATCCATGGTTTTCCAGAGCAGAGAACAATGGCCTCAGACTTGGAGGTACTGACTCTCATCCTGACCGCTTCACACTCTGCTACAAACTGCCCCAGTGAGAGCTGAAGGTCACGGTCTGAGAAAGAACGGAGCCGCAATTCTGTGGTCCCCAAACCGGACACTCCCCCTCGCTGTGCCTGGAAGTCCTGTCCACGAAAATCACAAACCAGATCGGTGACAAGGGACAATCCTGGCGAAGGACCAAACCCTCTCGAAACAGGTTTGACTTTGTGCCAAGTATACAGACACAGCTCTCACCATTCATACAAGGACCGGAGTTTTTGTAGCATTGACCCCAATACCCCTTTATTCCCGCAGGACTCCCTTGGGGGACAAGTTGTAAGCCTTCTCCAAGTCCCCAAAGCACATGCAAACTCCCATGACATCTCCAACAGACCTGCAATAGTAAAGAGCAGGTCCACTGTTCCAGGACTGAATTTGCATTGCTCCTCCTGGATCTGAGGTTCACTAATCAGTCAGAGCCTCCTTTCCAGCACCCTAGAATAAACTTTCCCAGGGTGAGAAGTGTGGTACCCCGATAATTGAAGCATACCCTCTTCAAACTCTGCCTCCTCCACGGAGGATGTGTTGGTCGGGTTCAGAAGTTCCTTAAAAGTGCTCTTTTCACTGCTCGCCAATATCCCCAGTCTGGGTCCACAGTTCTCCTCACCTGCTGAGTGCAGTAGCCTGATCCAAGCATTGCTTTCTGAGTTGTCTAACGTTTTGCCAGAACTTCCTTGAGGCAAAAGTCGTTCTCCATAGTCTACTCACAGTCGTCCCACACCAAACTCAGTTCCTACACATTTTCTACGGGGTGTTTATGCATTTACAAGACTAAAACTAAAGGAAGTGATTACTAAGGCTAAATGAATGGGCTAGCTATAACCGATGATAGCTAATGTGCACACAATGAATACGGCACTGTTTGCCATTGCTTTCCTGCAGCAGATGATAGAACATTCATTGCAAACATCAGAAACTTGAGATTTGACTTTGACTTGTGACCAAAGGCTTGAAATTAGATACATACAGAGTGGATGTCTTTTTCACCAGATGCAATCTTTCTTTCTTATTGTATATCAGAGATGTTTTACTGTCACTAAAAAATCTCGTCCATTTCTTTTGTTCACGTTGGAGCCACTGAGTAGTCCGATTTTTCAGCTCCTGTTCCTCCAAAACTCCCCCGTAAAAGTCTCATCATTGTTTCCGACTGAAAACTGAAACACAGATGTTTTTCTTATTTGTTAGGGTCCCCTCGTTCCTTTAAGTCTTTGGGTAATGTGGTGTTATTGGACCAGTTTTCAGGGATGGTCTACAGAACAAGCTTCTCCTCAATGTGGAGATCAGGCAAAAATCGACCTCCTTGGGGAGCTTGAGAGTGTAAGAGTTCTAATATCATGTTAAGACACGTGAGGTCAACTTTACAAATGTTCAAGCAATTGTTTTGAGTGTATTACACAGTGACAGATATATTTAAATTGTTAAAATTGATATTGAAAATGTTTGTGGTACATTCTGGTGACTATGAAAACTTGGTTTGAAATCTTAAAAATGTGTCCATAATATTGGATATTTCTGACTACTTGAGCATAAATCTAAGTCAGAAAAAAACAAAAACATCCCAAGTTATTATTTTTGACTTCAACAATGTAATGTTTTACTGCTTGGATCAGCATAAAACTCTCCTGGTTATCATCAGTACAAAAGATTAAGAACTTGCTTTGAAAGTATCTGATTTCTGATTAAAAGTTAAAGTTACAAGCTCGTGCACATAGTGCCCTTGGGTGGGAATCACTGATCTGTAACCTTGATGATCAGTGTGTGGAGAGAAAAAATCTCCCCTTAGAAGTGTTATTCCCTCATAACCCATGCTCCCTAAACAATACCTCCTCAGTTAATAATAATAATTTGTACCTTCCAGCCTCCCTTCAAGTCTAGAAGCACCGTAACACCACATTTTGTGGTTCAATATGAATCTGAAAATGGTTTTCCTTTCAAATGTATAATTTAGGCTTTGCAGTGGAAATTGTCACAAAGTCTGCTTCCTTGCATCATCAGAAGAATGAATGAATGGGTAAGAAACCTTCCCAGTGCATTTAGTGTTGGCCTCTCACTGAGAAAGTAATTGCATTTGAGATCAGGTATGCATGTGACATTTCAGTAAAAGCATAGAAATGTAACTCGTGCATCACTCTCCGAAACACTTTTAATGACTCAGCTCGTTTTTTACAAAAAGCAGAACCACCCAAGATTCTGACGACAGATTGCTTATGTTTTCTGCCAGCTTTTTATTAAACATAATATACCACTGCCTTAACGCTCTGAATGTGGATATGGTCACACACTTTTTTTTTCTTAATTTGAGCCACAAACAATTAGATTTTCTTAATGCAAAAGAATCAAAAGCAACATTTTATTTCAGATGGCAGACACCTTAAATCAAATGCTCTGAAGCATCTGAAGCAGCTGGACATAAACGTTAAAGCTTCTGTTGTTGGGCAGGATCCTAATCTGCACAAAGCGGTATTTAAGAAACCCCTTTACTCAAATGTTGTTGTTTTTTGGGACACAGCAGGGAAGCTACCACATTAGTCTACCTAAGAATATTTATTATTAATTAGTTGGAAAAGCCACTGGATTTATTCCTGATTTACCAAGTTGATCAGCGTGTGCAGAACAAACCTCAGACATGTCCTTTCTTTTACAACACATCCTCACTAAACAAGAAAACAAAATCTCATTTGTAATAATATTTTTTACCCTTTCGAGGGCAATTATTTTTTTCACTTTTTCCATAATGCAAATGAATTAAAAAAATAATTGGAAAATAATGCAACAAAGAGAATCAAAATAGCATTGAAAAGAAGATTACCTGAACATGACCAAGAGTCTCTGACAAAATTTATAATGGCAGCAAAATGTTCTTAAAGGTTGAACTTATATGAATAAGTACACAAGCACTGCTCGCAAAGGAGGGAGGCATTGACGTCAATTAGGACCCAACAGATATTGACTAAGCTCCAATCAACACCAGTCTTGTTACTCGGCCCAGCTTTGGTGGTAAGTACATTTATTTTCATGACTGCTCTTTATTTAGACTACTTTCATATTGTCATTATTTATATTTGATCATTTATTCCGTTTTCTGGTAGATTACGGATCTGTTCTACAAATTGTTTGGTGTCCTTTATGTTTCCTGGTTAATTACAGGACTAATCTGCAGAGATGATTATTGTCAAAACTTATAATTGTAGGGCGAATTATTAGCCTGTAATTAAAAAAAATGTATGGACCTTGTATAGCACACGGATTAAGATATGGGCATATGTTTGCCTATATGTTTGCAGATGTAGCCTTCTGAAATGCATTATATGCATTATAGTTTATAGCATCCACATTGCATAATTGTAAAGGTATTTCCTAAAAAAAAAAAACACACACATTTGTTTTGAGAGACGTGTGTCAGTTTGTAGGTGTTAACTTGCTGAGCTTTTAAAATAGCTAAATGAATGGCTTAATCAGTAATGTTAGTTCACTTTACTGATAATATGTGACCTGTTGCGTCGTCTGCAGATGGTCCCAGTGCTCCTGAACACACCTGTGGCCACAGTGTTTGTGCTGAGCTGCATGTGTGCCGTGCCGCTGCAGAGCCAGAAGCCGGCTCACGGCGACCCCCTGACGGCCCACCGGTCGAACCCACATTGCTGGGAGTCTTCCTCGGCTCTGCTGCTGGAGATGCGCTCCCCGAGGATTGCTGACACTGTGCCCGCCTTCTGGGACATGATGGTGTTCCTCAGGTCGTCAGACAACAGCAAACACACGGCGCTGTTTTGGGACCTGGCCCGGGTCTTCTGGGACCTTTATCTGGACTGCGTGCTGTCCATGAGTCACGGCCTGGGTCGGAGACACACCACCGCTTTACACTCCCTCATCACTCAGAGTAAGTGTCCATGGTATTCCTCTTCATGTGGGACTAATCGAAGTTTATATGGCGCCACTAATATTACTGCTCTATATTTTTATTTATGTATTTTTTTATATATTAATATTATTACTATACTGCAAAACGTCAAGTAGCATATATACATAACATAAATATAAAAAGATGAAAAAGATGCTAGAAAAATAATATAACAAATATGTCTGTTATAACTGTAATGTTTGCCTACAATATAATAGCACGAGAGAGCTGTACAGCTTTGTCCAGGATGTGCAAAAACATTTATCAGAGGATGTGCATACATTCATAGTAAAGAGAATATGTGCAATGTTCAGCGATAATAGTAGATGTGCGTTAATGTGGCACATTGAAACATATGTCTAATAGCAGTTATTATTCACAAGCTACCCAGAAGATAAAGCACACAAAGTAGTTGAAATTCACCTTTACCATCAGCATTAAAGTGCATTAGTGTGTGTGTGTGTGTGTGTGTGTGTGTGTGTGTGTGTGTGTGTGTGTATCTATGTATGTGGGTCTTTTATAGAGTCCTTCAGCTCAGGATCTAACACCCGGGCATGGATCAGTGTCAGAGTGAGACCCAGAGGACACATCAAGACCCTGAAGATCAAAGCCAGATCAAACACATTCTACTACAAATAGTTAATATCCAGGTTATAATATTTTATTCCCCACTGAAAAACTAGAATATTTCACTTTTATTTCAGGATATTACAGGCCTACTTAATGTATGATTTTTACCTAAACGTTATCTGTGGCTCTCAATAACGAGTTTATTATACACAGGCTTTATTAGTGGTGATACACCATAAGATGTCCCGATAACTAAAATTAACTGACAGGGTGAAGGCCTCAGCCGATGCCTTTATTATCCTTATCAAGACAGCTTTAAATGCTGATCAGAAAAGGACATTGTTATCCATTTAAAACAAGTTTCGTAGTTTGTTTAAATCCTTTCAGTCGGGTGAGTTAACACTGAATGAAGATCTGTATTGTTGCTATGGTTACCTGCAGTTTATTACACCTTACACACTGATTCAAAATGGTGATCACACATTTGAACTATATTTGTTGGTTTAGTTTTGCTATCATATGTTCCTATGTGATATGTAACCAATCAAAAGTGAGCATTTGTATGTGATGATGTTGGATTACCTGTTTGTTTGTTTGTTCATTTTAAGAATAAATTAAAGTAGCCTGTCATGGCTGTAAGTTGATTATCCTTGACTTAGTGGACTATCCAAGTGGACTACAATGAGTCAGCAACAAAATAGCCACAACATTTGGTGGTGCATGACTAAATGATCAAAAAAAGGCAAAGATTAATTATTGAGCTGTTTTTATGACTTGGTGGTTATGACTCAATCCGTGCCCGTCTCTGTGTCAACTTCTAGAAGCACCTCCACTTTACTGTAGTCAAGTCAGCTGACACTCGGTCTCTGTGGTTAAATCAACACTGAAATATTTCAAAAATTCTTCTGACTTGACCGCAGTTCCACTTTCTGGAGTGTCCAAAAAAGGGCATGTGTGCGTCACCGGTTCCCTCGGTTGTCGAGAGACGGTTGCCTTTAGGAGTTTCTTCCAGAAAGGGTTTATTTCTAAACCTAACCAAGTACGTTTGTTGCTGAAAACGTGAGGAGATTTCTGGCAGAAAGGCTAATTTATTTACTTATTTATTTATGTGCAGCATCGGCCAATAGCAGCTCCGTGATCCTCGGTCCGCGCGCATTCGCTCTTTTTACTTTCGATTTTTACTTCCTACTTAACTGGAATTGTTTTTCAGAGAAACCGCATCCTGCAACGTCTCCGTTAAGTTCCTATCGTGTATATTATAGCTCATATATAAATGTATCAGTGGTCTTCGATCGTATACAGTTGACCCAACAAGAGTATGTTGAAGAGGACAACACATATCCTCTTCGGTAGTCGGACCTGCTGAACACTCTTCTCCAAACAGGTAACACACATTTTTCAAGTCGATGCGTCTGGTTTAATAATTACATCGAGCTGAAATCTAATCTAATCAAAGTTGTTGGATGTTTGATAGTGAAAATGTGTTGATGTGATCATGTGCTGGCATGTCAGGCTGTTGTGATTATGCCACTGTTATGACACTTGACACAACAAAATAATCATAAAAGCTCCTCCAGAATACCATGCAGCGTTATCAATGTTTATCTGTGAGGAGAAAGAACAGCTGGCATGATGTACCACATACTGTTAATTGTCAGGCCAAATACTTCACAACAGAGAAACCAGACTCCTGAGTGAAGCTATCTTGTATCTCTTTTTTTTTAGCACACAAAATGGATTTCCAGAGGCTGCTCTTAGATGTAGGGAAGGCCCTGAGTATGGGTGAGGAGAGAGCTTTGGCATTTCTGTGCACTGACTTACTGGGCCGGAACCCGACCACAGTGAAGTCGGCCAGTGACCTCTTCTCTCGTCTGCGGTATCAAGACCACCTCTCTGCTGAGCGACCACACCTGCTCACTGAGCTTCTCGTCATCATCCAACGCCACAAACTGATACGTGACCTCGACCTCTCTGACCTCTCTGACGGAGCATCTACTCCCAGGAGCCTCATCTCCCCTTACAGGTGGACTTCCTATGTTCTACTCTTTTTAAGTAAAGCAACAAGCATGATTTAGTTCATAGATAAACCCACATTCAAATAATTCAGCTGGTGAAATGCCGTGGAGAAGTTATTCTCTCTGTTATTGTATATAAACATGTGTGTGTCTGAGTGTGTAGAAAAGATTCATAGCGGCAGAAACTAATTTGAGAATGTCAGAAACTAATTTTTGCACAAATGATATCAGCGTTGATGTTATGTAAAAGATTTTACAGTTAAAAGCAGTGCCGAAATTTGTACTTGTAATTAAATATGAGCGTGCACTTTCAGCTTCACTGTGGGAAGTTTCACAGACAGTTTTCTGCATTTAATCTGTACATTAATGTACACAGATTCTTATTCTAGTCTTTTTTTGTGTAACCTCACCTTATATTTAATAAACACATTTCATTTCACCATTCTAAAATATTTTCTACACATTCACAAACTTTAATTTGTAATAGTTTTCTTTTACATATTTACTAATATACACCAAGAGACAATTTCTGATTATCTCTGAATATAATTTGACATTCGCTAAATCTTACTGACCCTCATTTGAGCCCATCGGTATCAGCCATGATATCTTTATGATTCAACTAATCAAAAAAATCAAAGTACTTAACTCGATATAGAAAATAATCCCAATCAGCGTTGCATCCTTATTGCCAAAAGTTATCCAGTGACCTTAGAATAATGAGCTATTGTTTGTCCAGTCAAGCACCAGGCCTTCTTTTGACAACATTGAACAGTTTTACTTTCATTTTTTTTTTTGTGCCTGTATTTCCAGGAAGCTGCTTTACAACCTGTCTGAGGGGATTACTGATGATGACTTGAAAGATGTGAAGTTCTTGTTAGATAAAGATCTTCCACGTAAAAAACTGGAGGAAAATGTTGTGAGTGTCAATGTTTGAACCCCATGAGTTAGATGGTGTTTAAGCCAACATCCATAGTCATAAACGTACAAAATATTCTGTAAATAGTAATGTTTATTCTTGATCTAAAAGATACATTTTTAAAAACATTTTTACTGTTAATTATATATGACATACGCCTAAATTAATATTCTGCTTCTGCTATAAAGTATGCATCATATTACGTTATGGTAAAATAAAGTAGAACTGTGAATTTGCTTAACTTTTCAGTCGACACTAGAAGTCTTCCTGGACATGGAGCACAAGGACCTCATCAGTGACAATAATCTAAATCTACTGGAGACCATCATTTCCAAAGTCTGTCCCATGTTGAAAGGCAAGATCAGCCAGTTTAAAGCACTACAGGGTAAGATGCAGAAAAATAGTCTCATTGCTCAAATGTTACTTGCAAAAACACAAATGTGGGAATGAGGATACAAAGCAGACATTGGAGACAGTAGGTTTACTGTCAAAGAGTTTGATTCAGAATTCAGAGGTGAGGAAAGCAGCACAGGAAACAGCATGGCCTCCAAGAAGCCCCTTGAGGAGACATTGCATTGACTTTAACATGAATTACCTGGATACTAACTCTCGCCTTAAGCACAGCCACGACCTAATCTTAACCCTTACCTGAACCTTAACAAACTGCATACATTTCATATATCACTTCCATCTAATTTGAATATTTGCTGATCACTCTGTCTGTAAATAACAACACCGTTGGTTTACTTGTGTTATTTCTAACTACAGTAACTCACACCAGTCCAGTAGTTCAAGAATCAGGTCGACCAAGGTCTATGTCGTACCCTATTGCAACAAACCAGGTACAATCTTTGATGATGCTTTGAATCCATCTGAGTTTCTGTGACAGATCTCTATGATAATGTTATGGCCACATTGACAGTTACAGACGTCATGTTACTGACACTGTATTCTATCTGGTTAGCCATTTGCTTTGCTTTTTCTGCGTTTGTTATTAGGTCCCTCAATCTTTAGGACCAGAGAGGAGTGTCTCGTGTGAAACGCCAGGTAAGAAGATGTCTTAAGATCATTTTGAAACACAATGGTGTGGTATATCTGTATTTAAAATATTGTGTTTTCCCTCATTAATATTATATAGTGTGACATAATTATGAGATACAAAGTTCTAAAACAAATAAACATCAAACTTAGGCGATGGATTTTTTTCTTTCAAATGGCAGATGTTGCATCCATATTTACTTTAACTATCATAATGTTTTTTTCTTACTCTCAAATGTCACTAATTATAACGCTAGAAAAATTGCACTTTACACACTGAACATATATTGTATTTTTACGCATTTTGTTACATTTTTCTTCTCAGTAGAATTCCCATCGTTGGCTGAGGTGAGAATGTGTCATTAAAAGTTCTATGACAAATACATTTTGACATATTTCGTGTCTTAAGGAAAATGTATTTTGTGTCACACACAGTCCTACGTGAATACTTCCAACACCTCTATGGGTGAGTCTTGTGTTCTGTGTGTTGTGTCACAACTGAGACATTTTAAGTGCAGTGCAGTGGATGGATTTACTCTGAATCCTCTTGTATTAATTTCCTAGATTTTCCAAATGCGTTTTCTGGTGGAGACGAGAGTGAGGCCCTGTCCCTTGGACTGAGTAGTTTGAACACTGAAACAAGCCGCGATGCCTCCGTGAAAGGTCATTGTAAGTAGTTTCTGTGTCAAGCTGTGAAGAAATTACATGTCAGACCTTTTAACTATTCAAATGTAATTTTTTGCCTGTAATCATGTGTCCCATAGTGAAGATAGATCCTGTGGAAATGTTGCCGTCTCAAGAAAACAAGTTCTCCTCTGAAGCACAGGCGTCTCAGACTACAAACACAAACACAAACATTGAGGTGTGTTTGAGCGTTTTATTATTTCTTCTACAAGTACATGTGCTCCAGTAATGTGGCACTGCGCGTGTTGTGCAGAAGTACAGCTATTGTTTAAACGTGTTACTTGTGGCAAAAAAAGTACATAATTGTATCAAAGTGCAAGCGTGACACTGAATCCTGTCTTGGGTTATGGATTTTTCTCTGTAGGGTTTGGAAGAATATCCCATGACTGCAGCAAAGCGGGGTATTTGCTTGATAGTCAACAACTGCAACTTCATGCCTTTTCTCACAAACCGGGAGGGGACAATATTCGATGAAAGTAAGTTATGTAATTGGTGCAAACTGGTGCTCAGTCTGTATTCAGGCATATCGCTGCATCTTTGTATTTACATTTAACTGTGTGTCTTCCAGAGGTTCTGCACAAAGTGTTTACGTGGCTCGGCTTTGAGGTAGAGGTAAAGAGGGACTGTAAGCGGGAAGAGATGCTGTCTGTGTTGCGGGAGCTCGGCAGCAGAAACCACAGTCAGATGGACTGTCTGGTATGCTGCGTTCTCAGCCACGGCAAGGAGGGATGTGTGTCCACCGTGGACGGCCAGACCGTCGAGATTAAGGAGCTGAAGGAACCTTTCAACGGGTTAAATTGCGCCTCTTTGGCAGAAAAACCCAAGCTGTTTTTTATCCAGGCCTGCCAGGGCACCAGCAAGCAGACGGCTGTCAGCATTTGTGCTGATGGTCCTGCTGCACCTAGTCCTGTTTGCAGCGATGCTTCTAAGGCTAATGATTCCATCCCGTCCGATGCAGATTTCCTGCTGGCAATGTCCACCGTTCCTTCTTACGTCTCTTTCAGAGAGAGGAAAAAGGGCTCGTGGTTTATTCAGTCATTGTGCCAAAACCTTGTCCAGATGGTGCCACGGTCAGTGAAGCAAAATATCAGATATTGTTAAATGATTTATTTTTTTTGTGGTATTTTTATTTTTGTTGAGTGTTATTGCTATTTTTACTTGAAGAAAGTAACTTGAATATTCATAAATTCAATGATTTTAATTACTGCTTTAATATGTGATAATTTGAGATAAGAGGATATCTGATTTTAGGTGTCTTTCTTAGTTTTTTATTTCACTATCTCACAGCAGCTTTTGTTTTTTTCCAGGGGATATGACCTTGTGTCTATCCTGACAAAGGTAAATGCAGATGTTAGCAAGAAGACTGATCCCACCGGTGTGAAAAAGCAGATGCCTCAGCCAGCCTTCTCTCTCAGGAAGAAAGTGGTCTTTCCGATCCCTGATGCCTCTCCTCCCAGCCTGCCGCATGTTTGATGGACTCACTCATCAGATGATCCCTGAGACCCAAGGATTTTTGTCTTACATATTGAACTTCAATATACTGGTTGAGCTAATCATTCACATTGATCCAGATGTAAAGGCAACAACCAACATCCTCTTCATTATTTCGATTTCTACTTTTTAACATGAATGTGATGGAATTATTGTCAAATGATATCATTGCATACAAACAGCTGCCACACATCAGAAATACATGAAATCTTACAATGTAAAATACAACAGTTTTCTATAATTGATGCAATAAATTGTGTATGCACTGCCATTGTGGAACTATTTTTGTAATTTCTCTTCATTTTGGTTGTGAATGTAAATGCACCGTTTAAAATGTTCTGTTCCGGTCTATTACATGCGTAGCTTGCTGAGTCTTTAATGCTTCTCTTTCAGGGTTCAGCTTGACATTTACATAATGCCACAAATTTGCGACAAAGTTGATGATGTGAATCTACCAAATAGTGCTCAAAGAATTGGTTGATGAATTGAGTAGTCACTCAACGGCAAATTAATCTCAATCCATTTTATTTATTGATCAAATTATTGATCAATTGATCCACAAAGTAATTGACAGATTAATTAAAAAGGAAAATACTTGTTACCTGCAGCTCTACTATTACTATTATTTTTTTACTTCATTTAAAATATGTTTTTAATCAACAAACAAAAACAACATAAACACATGAAGGTAAGGGCAGCATGGTGCCTCCAGTAGCGTATATGCAGAGACATATATTCATACAAACACACACACACACACACA